ACACTAACCCATTTAAAACTACCTTTACCGATATCTTTACCTACTAAATCATCCTCTATCTTTTTCTACGCATACATCTTCCTTTCAAATTATGATTGTATATATGTGAATCAAAACACAGTTGTGCCGACATTTTTATTTTCTTCTCGTTAAATTGATCCTTTGACAATAATGACTTCCATCTCTGATAGTGCAATTCATAGGCAGCCCTAATATTGAACCTGTTTTATCTGACTCGACGGAGAATGTCTCACGGACTGCTTCAAACTGTACTTCGTATTAAAGACAAATTGCCGTTGTGCAACGCGAATCAGCTGTCGCCCTCTGGTGACCTCAACCTTTGAATCTGTTCCTCGTGCACTTTCATACGAAATGAAAGTCTCCCAAACAAATTAACCCGAGGAAATTACTCGAAAGTGTAGGATGGCTCAAGCAGTGGAGAACAGATTAACCCAATTCTGAATGCAAATCTACTTACTCCTCTTCGCGAGGCATTATATCAGCTGGTCCGCGGACACTGAGACCATACTTGGCGGGCTCGTTCATGTTGACTGAGTATTCGATTGCCAGGTTTCCACGAAGATCGTCGTGCAACGTGTCAAGGCCATCGTCAATAATGGAGGATATGATACCTTGACCCGACCATCCGGCTGCATAGGCTGGGTACAGATTGAGATCAAGTCCGGCCTGAGGACTGTTACCTTGGGCCAGATTCAACTTTTAAATGAAAGAATTCAAACCTCAAATTGAGTTTAAATGATCCAGTCGTTAAATCTGATGTTGAAAAAGGAAATACGTTTAGGCATCTAAGAAAATGCAGTCATTTGACACCACATAGCATAAATAACGAAAATAAAAAAGTCAGAACTTTATATGCGAAATTTCAATACAATGACTTATCATGTAATGAATTGACTCAAGGCAGCATGTTAAGTCTTTTAGTTTAGTTAACAAAAACACACTACAAAGCCGGAATGATCGTGTTCTTCGCAGTGACGCCACATTTTCAGTTGACATTTACTTTTCTATACAGAACTTTATCATCATCAAAAGCCTTAGGAATAGGTCCACATCTTTCATTTAACATAGCAAATAGAGCTTTATGTCTTTAAAATATGCAGAACAAAAATCACACTTGAGATGTGTTTAAAACGGACGTATCTCTTTGAATGGATTTAATGATACAAATTCAGTAGTGTGATGGAGGATCAAGAGATTTGTTGGGAACGATTTGTTCTAAGTTGTTCAAGGGCCTCAACTATTTTCGTATTAAAGTAGAGTTTCGAGACTACCTGTAAATCAGTAGTAGTATGAGATGTATTCACCCGATTTCGTTTAAGGTAATGAAGGAATGGTAGATGAGATAAGTTGAGCTGACGTTTCCATTGAATTTCACATAGCCTTGCTTTCCCAAAAGTTGTTCTCATCCAGGC